AAATGTAGCCATAATTAAAATGAGGGGGGAAAACACAACATCTTAACGAGCTTGGATCTTCCCTGGAATCAATTGTCATCTCCGCCATTTAAGTGAGCAGTATATCCTGTCCATACAAAATTACTCAAACTCTGTGCCCGTTCGTGCCAACCAACTTCACAGAGATGATCCCAGGTTCTCATATTGAACCCATTACAAGTTTAGCCATATGGGTTCTTATTCACTTGTCCGATGGTGACGGCTGCAACAACAATGGTAAAACACTGAAGCTTTTTGATGCCATTCAACCCAATCGAAGTCTTGCGCAGTATTGTATTCTTCGCGAGGCGCTTCTATAATGTCAAATGCAACCTGTTATCTGCAACTCCGCTGATAGGAAACTACTACTGTCATTGGGCGCCATCAGGCGTGATAAACGTGGATTATCAATTTTTGCACCATCAACTGCCACCACCTATTTAAAGACGTTGAGAAGCACAAAAGATACAAGTTGTCAAATGCATCTAAAAAAATTGGTTGGAAGACAAAATGAAATGTTCTATTTTTGAACTAAGAAGTAGAATAAATTTGTTTTTCCCCCACTCTCCGGATTTCCGAATCCTAATAGGAGTAAAGGAAATTGGTTTCAAGATTAACAAGAATTGTATAATGAGAATTGTCTGATATTTATACACTCCAATGAAAATGAATACTAAGATTGCTAAAGATGACAGTGAATCACTCTTTGAACCAACTGCATATCCGCCTGTTTGGGCAGTCTTATGACTCCCATCTAACTAACTATGCGCAATCTGATATTTCATATGCTGTACAGGCAATTAGTCAGTTTGTCTCTGATCCTGGCAAAGTGTATTGTAATGCCTTGTTTAAGGTTGTTTGATATTTATACAACATAGATGATCACGGTCGTTCCTTTTCTACTACAAAACGGAGTCGATCATGGTCGTTCCTTTTCTACTGCATAATCTCTACAATCAGTAGTTTATGATGGTGTTGATTGGGCAGGATATCTGGGATACTAGTCCCTCTGGCACGCAATGTGCATCTACATAAATCACTCATCTCCCAGAAATGCAAGAAACAAGAATGAGTCTCCAAGTCATATGAGGTGGCTGAAGACAGCTTAATGTCTGCCACCAGCTCTTAAAATAATTTGGCTATACCATTGAAAGAGCACAGTCTCTCTCCCCCTAGCCCTATCGATTGTTTGCTGACAACTTCAGGGTTGTTCAAATTGCAAAGAATCCACCGTTCCCTGACTGCGCTAAACACATAAAGACTGAATGCCATTAAATTTTAGATCTTAGAGGAGATTGGACAATTACTCTTAGCTCGTGTTCCCACATGATCAGGTTGCAGATTTGTTCGCAAAAGCCATGACTATGAGTCAACAGTCACACTTGCTTTCCAGATTGATCCATCCTTGGATGAAGAAAACATCCTTGGACAATTACTCTTAGCTCGTGTTGACTAAGAGAGCAATAACAACACCATCCCAGCCATCTCCTTGGTCATGGAAACGTGCATGCATAAGGATAGTGGCCAAGAGACGAAATATTATCACCTCCCCATTCATCTCCCTAATCATGAGACCATGTGATTCTTGGGCGCATGTAGAGATTAGATTATACATTTGTAGGGATTAATTTTTGCTTTCCATGTATAGTTATATGTGTATGAATACACGTCCAATACTTGTAGAAATATTAATCAATGAAATAGAAGCATCTAAGTTTTCTATCCATGTGTTTGTGTGTCACGCACATGTGAATACAAACTTGTCAAGAAACCATATTTGTGAGGCAACCAAACAAAATAATACCAGAGGATGCGCAAATAGGCTTAGAAACTTTAGAATATAAATAACTAACTAAATAAATAAAAAGATAGATAACAGTGACAACAATACTATAATTCAATTCCAAATACAGTGTGCCAACATGTGGGACAATTTATCAGGAAAAATGTCGGATCAAACCCAACAAGCCAGACGCATTAATTAAGGAAGAAACACGAGCTATGTCTATCTTCATGTTATAGAGTGAATGTTCAAGAACAATACATCAGGGATATTTGAAACACTCTCAATGCCATGTTCGTCTCATGTCTACATTAATGAGCATGACTTTTTCGCCTCCTATGAATAAGGCTTTCCTGCCTGGAACTTTTCTAACTCATTCATCCTTTTCCAAGCATATATTATGATACTGTTCCATACTTATCGCTATTTCTATTTAAAAGAAGAGATTACACACGATAAAGACATAAAATATAAGATGTCTATATCAACACGCCTGAAAATTCATATTTCACTATTTTTTTTTTCTCCCAACATGAATGCATATATTTATATATCAAATCCATGCCCTGTGAACACAATATCTTTTGGTAAACCGATTTAAGTGCTATACTTTCTAATATCATCGAAGCGAGTTCATAAAATGTATTGTACTGATGCTCAGCATCCTCCGCAAACCTAGGAACCCGAAAAAATTATAGCAACAAGTTTTTCAAAGTAAGAAAAGCCAGTAACATCATTGACTGGAAATTATGTCAGTCTTCTGAAGGTATCAACTACATAGAATACAAGATACAGTAGTAACTATGTAGATGTTAATTATAAACACATGCAATGCAAAATTAAAATTTTATGATGCTATGTAACTATATGTATAGTACTGTTATCAATAAGGTGAACTGTCAGTAAATTGACAGATAAGTGCCTTTTACCAACCATCGTCATTAAGATCAAAAGAGATGTGGAATTTTTGTGCCGGGTTCTCGACTGAGCTGCACGTGGTGGGCATACAAGGTGGCCTAGGATAGGCAGAGCTCGTATTGCTCTGGCTTGACTGCTCAGTAGGGACCTGACCTTTAAACTTCTGACTCAAAAACATCATCTCCATATTTGAAGGCAATCCACCAATAATTCTTTTCCCCTTGTATCTAAGGAATCCAAGAATTTATTAAACAATTCAGTCCAAAGATCAAGATCCATTGCAACCGAATAAGAAGGAAAATTCACCTCTCTTTTCTCTTCTCTCGGTAACGCAGCAGTGATGCTTGTCTACCTGTTGGGCAGTCTGCAGTGAAAAACGTGATAACCAATAATCATCAGCTATTTCCACTATTTGACAAGCATCACACATACAGCAAAAGTGAAAGGTCCTATATGTCAGTACACAGAAGCCTAGATATAGTATTTCAAGCAAGTTCTACACCACGGGTGAAATATTAAAAAAAGGTAATGAAACAATCAATCTCAGTTCCATCCATCCAAAACTAGCAAATTTCATAAAACTACCATGAATTTTGCATATCACAATTTTCTTTTATTGGGAAACTACTGTGAAGTTTTCTCATTATATTATTACCATGCCAAATGACAGTAAGGAGGAGTCATCATGTGCTTTGAACTTGACATTTCTATGGACCATTTTAACCTTATGTCCCTTATATATCTTCTACATTATCCTCACCTCTCTTCTTTTTTCAAGGATAATTTAGACCTTTTATCCACCTTAGCTTCTATATTCCTAAAGTCACTTGCACACACCATAAACGCATCAAACTCATCAACGTATTATCAGCACATCACATAATCAAGACAATATGACATCATTTCTCACTTCAACTGATTGGTGATTTCCTACAAAAGGCATCAAGTAACAACAACCCCATAAACCCATCAAATTGTTATGACATTATGATATCATTGTAGGCGCCTAAAAATACCTATAGGTGTCTGCACACAGCTCGAGACGGAGAGAAGACGACGAACGTCGTTGTCCAAGTCTAAGAGGATTATCTGACGCCGACAAGCGCATGAAGCGAAACGGCGAACAAAGTGCCTGACGTGCCTGTCAGGCAGATCCAAAGTGCCCGACGCGCCTGTCAGACGGATCCAAATGGCCAGACGCGCCTGTCAGGCGGATCCAAAGTGCCCCACGCGCCTGTCAGGCGGATCCAAAATGCTCGACGCGCCTGTCAGGTAGATCCATAGTACCCGCCGCGCGTCGGTCAGCTCCAAGTGACCGAACGCACTCATCAGTCAGCTCGCGCGCATCGGTCAGCTCCAAGTGCCATAAAGAACCTAACAAGCGCATGAAACAAGATAACAAAGCATGCAAGTCAACGGAATGACGAAATACGCAATACAAGTCCGGAGAAGTCAGAAATTGTCAAACACCTAAAAGTGGTCCGCAAAAAGAAGATGCATTTAGACCATGTTACAATTCGAATCTGAGGAAACTCAAAAGATAAAAGTCGTAGGTATCTTCTTCAGCTTTCCAACGCATCTTGAACTAGCTCAATCCAAGGTCGGACGAGAGAGTTAAGACCAAAATACCGAAGGTATCTCAAACTGACCCGCGCGGCGGCGGGTCGGATCAATCTGACCCGCGCGCCGGCGGGTCGGATCCATCCGAGAAACTCAAAGATAAAAGTTGTAGATATCTTCGTTAGCTTTCTAACGTATCTTGAACCAGCTCAATCCGAGGTCGGACGAGAGAGTTAAGACCAAAATACCAAAGGTATCTCAAACTGACCCGCGCGGCGACGGGTCGGATCCATCCGACCCGTGCCTATGCGGGTCACATCAGTCCGTCTCGCGCACAGAACTGCCCGTAACCTCCAAAACGTGTTTTTAGGCTGTTTCGATCAGTTTCTTCTGTTCCAGAGGTTTCAACTGCCTAGATATCATCTACAAACGTGGTTAGGTCGTTATTAACTGAAGATAAGGCCAAATCACGTATTCTTACCCGAAAATCCCCCAACGAAGCTTATAAATACATGCCTAGGGGCTCAATTCACAGGGGCGGAATATTATCAAGAGGACGAGGTGCTGCCGGATTAAGGAGTCAAAGGAGCACGAATTTCAGAGGTGGCCAACTGATCTCGGCGAAGTTCATCAGCATAAAGAGGGAGAGTTCAAGAGATCTGAAGCCCCGTCCGTCCGTTCCTCGAGATTAGGCTTGGTCTTAATCTCGAGAAGAGCTACTAATTTCGCTTGGTTAATTTCAGAGCTTCATGTGAATACTTCCTTGGTGAAGTAGGAGCTCCGTCAATCTTCTATCAACCGGATCTGATTCGTAGTGGTCCACGGATATTAACGTCCCCGGCACAGGCGAAGTTCTCACGCAAGCAGCGGGTGATAAACGTCCGTTACGCTGTTTGACAAGAGTTGTATTTAATTTCATTTTCATTATATAAGTCGATCTTATAAAAAGATCTACTTTTCTCGTTTATTTAAGTTTATTGTAACGACCATAGTTGTAATAGATTCAAGGCGATGAAAACATCAACTTTTGACCCGAACAAGCTGGCGACCACGGTGGGAGCCGACAGCATTTCTGCGAAGGCTGACGTGTCGCAACCTCGGATCCAGATCACGGTTGAAGAAAAGGTAGAGTACGAGTTCGACCAACAGAAGTACGAGGAGTATCTGTCATCATCCTCCTCCAGATCCTCCTCCACTCGTAAGCGTAGGAAGATCAATGTCCCCGTTGCTGCGGTAGCTGCACCTTCCAACGCCCCTCCGGTCTCCAAATAAGATCGGATCTACAGATCTGAACTCCTCCTCAATTAGGGAGTTGAGTACCGAAGGCGCGCCAATCCTATCAAAGAGGGCACGCCAAAGGCAACGCCAACGACTCGCGCGACAACTTGCTAAAGCTTTGGAGCCAATTGACGGGATTCGCTACGAAGCGGATCTAAAGTCCAGAAGACGCCAACCGTCACAACAGCGAGCGAACAACCCCTCCTCCAAATCATCAACGAGTGAATGAATCCAAATCAAAAAGACCCGTTCAACTCTTGAGGAGCGGATCCAAAAGCACCACGTACTGCTTGCACACGCGCGAATTCTTTTGCAAAAGGCACAAAAGATGCAGAAGAATGACATAGCCAAGAAACAACCAATACTGCATCAAACTTGGAGACCAAAGTCCGAAACAACAGTCGAAATGATCAAAAATCGCGGGTCACCCAAGTCTGACCCTCCAAGCCGTGAGTCACTCAAATCCGACCTGCCAAGCCGCGGGTCACTCAAGTCGTGGGTCACTCAAGTCTGACCCGCCAAGCCGCGGGTCACTCAAATCTGACCCTCCAGACCGCGGGTCACTCAAATCCGACCCGTCAAGCCGTGGGTCACTCAACTCCGACCCGCCAAGCCACGGGTCACTCAAATCTGACCCTCCAGCCCGCGGGTCACCCAAATCCGACCCTTCAAGCCGCGGGTCACCCAAGTCTGACCCTCCCAACAGTGGGTCTAACCCGCGTCAGGGTCAAGACAGAAGACATTATGCACTTGTTCCATCAAGTTCCACCCCTGCTCTGATTGATCCAATACTCCCAGTGAAGCCCCGCGGTAGCGTAGACTTGTCCCGTTTCAAGATGAGGATAGTGGATCGTCTAGGTTTTTTGCACGAGGATCGAGGTAAAGTTCCGATCAAAGAACGTTTTGATCCGGTGACTAAACCCTGAGCAACTACTCAAGCCGGGGGTCGCACACGAAAAACTCCTATAACTGACCACCTCGGACCGCGAGTCATAGTCCAAGAGCTCGTCAAGAGTTCACGCTTACAAATGCGTGGCTCTAAACGCATGACTCTTGAGAACGCCAATAAGGCGGTAAATCCCCTGAAAGAAACGTATTCATCTGACGATGATAACGTTATACCTGGGAAGTTATGCCAACACACGATAGGTTGCTCCGGTCATCTGACTGACGAGTTGTACTATCGGGCTGGGGTACGAACAAGTCTCGGAAGAGAGGTACCCGGGAGATGGACTTTCATTGTCCGTATGCTAAACTTATCAGGGCAGTATTATCAGTATATAGCTATCCCAAAACCGCTCCGCAAAGGGTCTCGGTATTTGAGAGAATCTCCAACAAAATGGCTAAGTCCAAACTAAAACGTCTCCGTAAGAAACGATCAGTCGTTCAAGGTGACGAATTTTCGGAAGTTACGGTAAATATGGCTGATAAGGGAAAGTTGACTCGACCTTCTAGCTCCGACCCCTTGTATCGCATCGTCTGACTCGGCTACGCGCAGGGACCACTAGACGTAGGGACTATCAGAGAATGTAGAGAGGGTTATCCTCGGTTGATGAAGCATCAGATGCTAACTCTGTAATCGTTTCTGACAATACAGTATCTAGCCCAGGACAATCCTGTGAGGTGTTTATGATCAATACCGAGCAAGTGACCAAAATCATCGAAGATGCCTTGGCCAAACAAAAAGATAACTTCAAGTTCGAAATGGAAATGGCTATGTTGTGGATGAGGGAAGAGCATGACCAACAGATCTGAGCCTTATCGAATCAGATAGATGAATCCAGTCGTCACAATAATATTAGCCAAGCAGCTGGCGATTCAGATGAGGATGAACATCTTAATATTGATAACTCTCCCGTTGACCAGAACACTGGGGGTGATCCCACCAATAACGACAACACTGGAGGTGGCCCCATTATTCCTCTTAAGAATCGTCCAAGACCCGATACGAGCGAGGATGAGAAATTAAAAAATCTCGAGAGTAAAATCAACGCTCTAATGTCTGCTCGAGAGGTAAAAATGACCGACATTCCATATCCCTATCCAAGAGAATGGGATTTGATAGCATACCCGACGAAGTTCAACCTGATTAACTTCACGCCGTTTAACGGGAAGGGTTCGCCCACTCAATATCTGATCTACTTCAAGTCCCACTTGTGTATGATCTCTGACAATAAAGCCTTAATGATGCGGTCATTCGTTAGCACCCTTCACGGGCCCGCCTTCGATTGGTACTGCCATCTCAAGTCTGGAAGCATCAACAGCTGGGACGACCTGGAGAACCTGTTCCTCGCTCACTTTTTTGACGATGATGCCGAGGTGTCAATCAGGACACTCTTCGATGAGAAGCAAGAAGACAATGAGACGGTCGACGGCTTTATCAAGCACTTTCGGAATAAGGCGATGAACTGCCGAGATCCGATCACAGAGGACTTCATCCTTCAAACCTGTCATAATAACCTCTCTTTAGACATGTTAGAAGTTATGCGAGTAGCACCATACAATACCTAGAAAGAGTTGAAGGTG